CAAAAGTGAAAACAATAAAGAATCTAACCCGTCAACTCTCTCAAGGGACACCATTGGGTTCGCGATCATACTTAAACATGCACGTAATGCATTTCTTTTGTCTTTAATTGGGTATCTTACGGCTGTGCTACTAACTCTCCCGCAAGGGCGACATCTTCATGATTTAAATCCTTATCACCATAGGTAGAGTCTGCTTAGAATTACAGTTACCCTTCACTGCAGTGAAGCAGTAATGTGTTTACACAAAGTTTAAAGAAAAAAGAAACTATTACATTCAAGAGTTTAAACCTAATGATAAAATTTATGTTTCCATAGCAGCCGATAAAATTAATTGAGATATATGTGCATTCTTTAATCTTAATTATACTTCTAATTAAGACGTGTGTATTTTCAATTGAAAAGTGTAAGCATTAACTTTTAAAAAAAATTTAAACATACAAGCCTGACCACTGTTAGGTGGTAGTGACGTGTTTACGTAACATTTAGTGGAAAAAGAAACTACCCCATTAAAGAGTTCAAAATTTACAGTGTGATGAAAATATGGTCAAGGAGAGGTAAGTCATTTAGTAACTCAGCAAAGAAAGTCAATGAAAATGCTCGTTACTTATCTACTTCTACATACAATTTGTAAGTCTTAGTTCTTAAATAAAAATATTTTTAAGAATCAGTTTTCCTTTTTATTATGCAACGTAACTTTTAGGGTATTGAGAATTTTTTAATTTAATTTAAAATTTTCAAAATGTATATTTCATTTGTAAAGCTTTTATCTCATTGATTTAATTTATTTAATATAATAAAATATATATTATTAATAATTAAAATAGTTAATATTTTTAAATCTATTAGTTTTAAAAATAATAACATGATAAATCTTGTAAAATTTTTCATCTCGTACTATATATCTCGCATTTCTCAATCACATGGCATAACCTTGTTTTATTCTTTTAGATTTGTCTGACTTTCTTTTGCTTAATTTTCCCTAGATATGCTGTTGGCTATATATCCATTCAGACTTCAGAAGTCAATGATTTCTCACATGCAGACATTGCTTGGAGGTATGTTTAAGTAATAGTTGGGAGATTGCACTGTTCACAAACTTAATGTCGTTCACATGGCAACCCACATGGCACTTACCTTCCTAATGTGGATTCTTTCTTTCTTCCTATCCAACTACTCCTCAATTCCATTTCTGTTATCAATCATTTAGCATTTGCTAATCTACTTTTCCTTCTTAACAACTGAACATTATCTTCAGACACGCTATTAGAAGGCCATGAAAATGGATATAGCTTTCATACAGATAGGTCTTAACTAAAAAATTCCAAATCAATCATAATTGTTGCTTTAATTTAATCTTTGTCCATCATTATTGGCAGTCTTATTGCCTCCTAAAAATCACAAAGGCAGCAACAACCACCAATTATCAAAGTACAACGGTGCATGTATGTAAGAAAAATATTTTAGGTCTTTCAATTGTCAAACAACACTTTGAAAATGAAGTTCTTTCTTTTTTTTATTAAATTAAAAATTACATTCTATTTGGTTCTATTTTTTATGTGAAAAAATGTTTCATTTGCTGAAGTAATGAATTACGACATATTAATTAATTTTTACATTTTTTATTTTAGTATTTACATAAAAAAATATTTATAAATTGATCTTCATCATTTATTAAAATTATAAATGTTTAATTTTACGTATTTACTTTATGTAAGAACTAAAATAAAATAAAATAAATTATTGGAAAAAGACTAAAAGATAGTTTGAAATATGAAGAGGATATATAGCCAACAATTATAAATGTTAAATGTTACGTATCATCATTTACGCTTTTGTTTTTGAAGATTCATTAGTTTGATTCTTCCACAGAATTTTGTAAGACAAAAATCTGATCCCGACATCAACAAAAAGCTTTAAAAAACTGGCTATCACCATCTTTTCACTGAGAAATAGATTTATTGAACCAACAGCTTCATGGAATTGAGAACATAATCCAAAGATCTTATAAACATTATTGAGTGCTGTAACTGTGTATCTCAGCGATATTTTATTATGTGGGGTATCTTAATTATATGTAACCAATAAACAGGATCTTGTATTGGTGATGGAACTGTGGTCTGAACATTTTCTTTTTCTAAATTGCTAGTGGGGCACCTGTCTTTATACCTTCGAATACTTTATTGTTGCAATCGTGAGCTTCTGTTATTATATCAGCTTTGATCATTTGGACTCAAAACAGCTCGATTTCAATTTGAGTCCTTCCTATCGGAAAGCTTTTCGATTGTTGATAGCCACTCTGTCCTAAAGAAGGATATTCAAAGAATCTCAATTGGCAAAACCTAATCATTTTGCATAAAACATCCAATTTAAGCGAGCAAGGCAAGAAATAGAAAAAGAAAAGCCAGTAACAACAGAAAGAAAAATAATAATTACATCTGCCTGAAACAAACTACTTAAGTAATTTTATTATATGCTACGTTGAGGGGAAACGAATATATATATATATATAAAGGTAGAAAAATATAAAACAAGTACAACAAAATTGCTAGATCAAAGAAGATATATATTCTTCTGCGTTGGTAATAGTTTTATTTCTTCTGATCTGATGGTGCGGAATGATTTGGACCGTTGCATTAGTTAGCAGAAAATGCCATATCGCAACTTGGGAAGCCCCATATGGGATTTATATGGCGTCTAGGGTTTCTTCAGCCGGCATTTCGTATCAATAGTATACTGATTGTGCAGAGAAATCAATTAAGTTTATTCAATTGTGAATGCAACTTGGGCGGGTGGAAAGGACAGAAATTCTTTGAAATGACAGGAATATATAACATGCAACATGCATTTATATTATTCACTGAGGAAAATAAAATTAGAAAGCCACTAGGTTAAGGCACCTTTATCATAACAAGGACTCAAGTTGCTGCTAGAGAAGCATGCATGGTAAATATGTGGCATGGGTAAGTGAACAATGTCCTATAATCCTATGGCGTTTCTTTTTTGACTTGTGAACAACAATGATTATCTACGTAAAATGCTTCAAGCAAGACGGGTATATGAGCCAAGCAAGCATGAACATCAGTCCCTTTGCCGGGGAACCCTGTCCTCGTATTACTGATTACTGTTTTAAATAAGAGTTGAATTCATTGATCAGTTACATATGCGTGTGTGAGTGTGTGCCTTGGACCAGACCATAATGGCTCCAAAGCTGTGATGCATGACCCCACATGTCAACTCAATGATATTAAGTGTATGACTATGAAACAGTAGACTATGACAAAGCATAGTGTGACCCACCATGTGCACACTGACTGTAACATCCACCACTCGCCACATGTGAAGCCGCCATATCCGAAGCTACATTGGGTTAATATCCCTTTCTTCCTTGAGGATTGATATTGTCTTATTAATATCTTAGATATTCATCTATCTTTATTAATCTTTTACTATCTTACTGTTTTCATGATAAAGTTCGGCGCCGTATGTTTTTCCACAGGGAAAAAAAAAATGGACACCAGGATCGCGTATAGGAATTCATTCATCATGCATTGCTTTTGAATCAAAAAAACGTTTTTTCACTCCTCATTAAAGGATGCGAATTGGAGGAAAGAAAGAGAAAGAAGAGAGAGATTGGGTAATGTAACCAGTCACATGATAAAATAAATGCAAGAGATAGGGATATAATATATAGTTTAGATGAAGAGTAATCAGAAGATGGAAGTGGAAAAGTTGAGTAGGAAATAATACTTTAAAAAAATTCGTAAGTAGAAAAGGGAGCAACACATTTTTGGTTAGGTAAGTCCTGATAAAAACTCACTTTGTATTAATGTATCAATAAATATTTATAAAAAATATAAAGAGAAAATGAATTAAATTTTTTTACAAGTAAAAATTTATTTTGTTAAAAGTTTTTCCATTTAAATTTTATAAAAGATAAGATGTATAACTTTATTTTAACTTTTAGAAGAAGTTTAATTGTTTTATCTCTTTATTTTTTTTAATTAGTTATTAAGAAATTTATTTAAAGTGGATGAAAAAAGAGTTGGAAGCACCGAATTCAAGTAAAATTATCCTAACCATGTATTTAAATAATGCATATTCTAAGTACCATTAAACCAAACTTATATGTATAGTAAAATTCTAAATAAGAAAAGATAAATATATCAACGTACTTTTTTACTTTTTAATATATTCTGTTACTATTAATTTTTCTCTTTGAAAATTAAGATGTCTGTGCGATGCTTGAGTATATGTTTAATTCCTCCTTTTGAAAGGTTAGATTTTTGTGAAGTGAACGAGAATGTGAAGGGAAAATCATTCAATATTCATTAAACTTGGATTTTTTTTGCCCTAAAATCGCGATGCTGTCACCATCACAATATGGAAAATAAAGAATAAAACTTAGATTCAATTTTTTACATCCTTACCATCAAAGAACCTCCATTAAATATGTATTACAAATTTTAATAGGAAAACCGCATTCCTCGAAAAAGCTAACAGTAAAATTTGAGACAAAATTTGACCAAGTTTTGTCTGAAGATAAAATTCCAGGGCCTTATCAGCTTCAGCGTTGGTCAATGCATTTTCATTCCCTCTCCTTGTAACTTTTTCTAGGCACAAATTCAGAGCTATTTAGTCATGAAGCATAAATAATACACACTCTTCCTTATTTTGAAATATAACTTTTCATCAGAGAAACAAAATGCAAAAATCAAACTCCTGACTCTTGAGAGAAGATGTAATAGTAAATAGTAATACCACCGTTACTTGACAATTTCTAATGAATAAATTTATACCTAGAATAATTAAAAAAATTTGTTAATTTTAATTCTAAGGACTGAAAATAAATTGTTAATAATAAAAAAATATTATTAAAAAAATATTTATTATATTTTTATAACTTTAATACAATAACAACTGTATATTTTTTTTATAAATATTTTTTATTTATAAATATTTAAATTCAGCCATTAAAATTAAAATTAACAAAACTCATGATTGAAACAGAATAAATCCTCCATGTTACCATACATGAGAACGTTGACTTGAGGATAAACTCCCGAGATAATTAATTAACCTTAGATAGGATATGGGCCCAATGAACCGTCCCTCCACTAGAAGATAAGAAAAGCTTGGTGCCCGGTGTCGACTTTAGGTAATTGGCAATTACAATATCTTATAGAAACACGACAGGAAAGGCCAAAACCTCGGTTCCCATTGTCAAAAGACGATTATTGGCTAATAACTACAAAGCCCATGTTCTCTTACAAATGAAAAAGGGTACATGATTAAACAAAAAGGAGAAAGCATACTACAAAGAAACCCCGTGAAGGATAGTTCTAAATTCGAACAGGACTAAAACTTTGTCGTCGATGACTATTACTATCGTGAGCCACTCCGGAGCACATTGTGTAGCACTGTCTCGAGGTTCTTTCTCCACAAAGTCAGTTTTAGTTCCGAGTGAACTTTGATCTTATGCAAATTGACACCTAATAATCAAAGAGGTTTTTAAAACAAGGCCGTGGAAGCAACTTTAGCGCATTGTCCTATGTACAAAATTCTGTCTGCACTTGTGTAATGATGTCTGTTGAATTTGCAAGCAATGAGAGCAAAACTTGAGTACAGCTTGGCAAAGACAGACAAATCTAAGAAATGCCAGTGGCAAACAACCAGAATCAATTAGACTTCATCTCATTATCGGAATTATCCTTCAAGTTAGCGTCAGGATTATCCCCCGGGAGAAGGCCAAGAAGAGGCAAAGGCAATAATGAGCTAAGATTGCAAAGGATTATCAAAGCTGCCAAGTTATCAAAACTGTCCTTTGTAATTCCAAATAGTTGAGTCAAACCTGCGCCTATCAATCCCCCAACAACACTTCCTCCATTAGATACAGACATGAGAGTTGCAAAAAGAGTTGCCTCCATTCCTTCAGGACATAATCTTGCTGCTAGCACTAGAACGGGCATGAAAGATGCCTGAAAGAAACCAATAATCAGATGCAAGACAAATTTTGCTCAAACAAATGACAGACTATTAGTTGAATGGTAGAACCAAAGCACCAGAAAGTTATTCCTGAGGTGTACGTTGATACTGCTTATTTAATGGTATGCAATGGCATTAATTATGTTCTAAGTCATAAAAGGGATTAAATTTGACCTACCATTATCAAAACTACAAAACAGATATATTCCTCCTTCGAATTTACTTTTCCATAAGGTGTGAAAATCCTCAGAATACAGGTTGAAGAATTACTTTTTTTTAATCGCAAAAAAGAGTAGAAACAATAATACTCAGCATTTAGACAGCCTTCAAAATCGGGAAACCATGTATCCTTAATTCTCTATAAACAAGTAGTCTATATAGAGTTAAACGCAAGCATATAAAATTTAAGTGTCTGCTAAATCCCACAAAAGCTGGTAGCCGGTGCTTTTTGAAAGACCCTTCTTAGTTCTTACTGCGTTTAGCATGTAAAAGCAGCTTCAAAAAGTACCAAATATTCAAACTTACCCTGATTTAACATTACAGTGAGAAAATCTCAATGAGAGAAAGATAAACAAAAAACAAGAAACCCTTTGTTTTTGGTAAACACAAGAAAATTAATAACAACTCCAGCTGTGGTGATATGTTTTTCTGAGCCAGTAGTGTATAACTAATAAGTGAAAGAAGACGAAGACCACCTGACTCAAAACAGTGAGAATTAATGAATCACCAATTGCAAACCACTCATCACTTATTCCAAACTGCCGGTTTAGTCCAGTAACCAGGAAAACCTGACAAAAAGAGGTTAAAAACAACAGAAAGAAGGTTAGAACAGCCAGATCAAATTAAAAATACATAAACTTACTAGAAACATACAATTAACCTGAGTCATCCCAAGAGCTGAACCTAAAATGGTAGTTGCAAGAAATATTTTCCGCAAAGGCACATTCTTCAGAAATCCATTATAAAGTCCAACACCAAGCAAAGATGCAATCGAGGTAACAAGCTTGACACGCCCTAAAAACTCTGGGGTAAAACCAAGAGAATTTGTGCTGAAATGGATAAGAAATTATTTAAATTTGAAGTAAATGCTATGTGCTGGTAAGAGAATACAATAGGATAAGAAACTTGTTACACATAGCAAAATATAATTGTCATATTCACAGAATGTACATACGTAAAATAGAACATGGCAGAGTCAGACTGGGGAGTTGCTTGCCACAAAAAAATAAACAAAGTGGGAAGAAAAACACTGGGCTGCCGTACAGAACCCCACAGCTGAATAATGTTCTGTTTTGAACTTTCCAAAAACTCTGGCCCAGCAATAAGAAGATTTTGCCCTGTTGATGTACCAAGGATAGCTTGTTCTTTTACAAGAACAGCAACTACAGATGTTATCAATGGAAGCAATGCTGTGACGCCAAAAACAAACCTGGAACACTACATAATTATTATAAGAACATAAAAAAGACAAACCGAAAAACAAACAAAAAGCAAATGCTGCTATCAGAAATCGATGTATCTTGGTTCACAAACTTCTTTCAGTACCTTACACCATATGTATCCAGCAAAGACCCACTGAAGTAGGAACTCACTATTCCACCAAAAGCCGAAGAACCCCAACATAAAGATTGAAGAGATCCTGAGGTGCTTTGTGACTCACCACGTGCCCTCTCCACAACCATTGAATCTACAACCTAAAACATAGCTCAGGGTCTGACAAAGTTCTTTGAACAATTTCAATCTATAGAAGATAGTACAGTGATAATATCAGAGATAGATAAAATTGAATACACAAAACACTTGAGTTTGTATCTGTGCCTGAAGCACAGTGATAGAAAAGGAATAGCCGCAAAAGTACCATCCTTCCCAGGATAGAAACCTTAGTAATTAAGATTCCTTTGACAGTAACTCGGTAAATATTGAGTAGTGATTTGGGAAGAATGAAGGAAAGAGACATTCCAGTGAATTTTTTAAATTTTTGGCTCTCCTTTCTAAGATTTCCTGTATGGAGTTTGATAACTGATTACTGAAAACAGGAATTTTTAAGTATTCCAGAATTTTGGCATAAATTGATAGCATAAAATTAGACACTGATATTATAACAAAGCATCAAGCAAAAAGGTAAGTTTTACCAATCATTTCCACTCAATACTCATAGCATAGCCAGTAACATTTATTTAAAAGAAAAAAATATTAAAGAAAATATCCCATTCGTAACCCTTGTTTGCCAGATATGTACTGGTACACAACAATAGCATGTATAATAAAGCAGATAGGAAGTACACTTACATAATTATAGAATAATGCTGACCCACACATATATACACGCCATCTTACATTTCCTAATTTCTATCATTTGATTACAAATGGTCCTACCTCATTTCCTGTACACCAACAATCTAACCCAGTAACCTCACACAGATGATGAAGTGGACTGCTTGGTGTGGATGTGTACCAAGCATTATTCACAATTAAAAGATTCCAGGCATATGTGAACTACTAAGTAGGAGACACTCACAACATCCGAGAAGGCAACAGAAAGAGATCCAAGAAGGATGCAAAAAGCAGCATTGTATTTGCTATCAACAAAAGTAGCCATCAAACTCCATGAGAGTGCACCAAGCAGCCCTGATAGAACTAGGTATGACCTTCTTCGATAACCAAAGAGGGGGACAGAATCACTGCATGCCATATTAACAACAACTTCAATAACGAGAGATAAAAGAAGGGAAAATGATGAACCATACAGTTGAGGAAGAGGACAACGTAATACAGTTTTAGACTCACCTAATAAACCCATACAGAGGTTTGACAAGCCACGGCAATGCAGAGAAACCAGAAATCACAGCTGCCTGGTCAATATATGTAACATGTCAGTCCTTCTAATGTTAGTGTATAATTGATTCAATCCAAAAGGAAAAGGAGCCGAATTTCAGTTTTTTGGTTTCTACATTTGATCCAAGCAAGGGCCCACACTCAACTGTTTACACCTTAGATTAAGTAAACGAGCACAAGTTATAAAATTCAAATGAAACTGACAAAAAAAATGTGTTTGAATTGCATATGAAACCATTAGTTGTTAACGAGACATACCTCAGCAGGGTCCAAATGCAAATCATCTTTTAAGTAAAAGTTGACAGCCAACCTTGCTAGTCCTAAAACCCCTTGAACAAAATATACCATCGCAACAGCAACATTATCTGGGGATAATTCTACCCCAAACAATTTGATGTTGCTCATACGATATCTCTGCTTTCTAGGAGCATTTCTACTTGAGGAGGATGCCTCTAGATCAGTCTCAGTAGTTAAAGCATCCCCTTTTCCTGCACCTGCCACAAAAATCAAAATCCAACAATGCTGCCAATAATTTTCCTTCTAACACTTTTGAATATACATTTATGAATTTAAAAACTTAATAAATAAAAAAGAAATTCAAGCTCAATCTAAACAGTATATCACTTGGCATAATCGATTCCATGAAACTTAAAACTTTTTCATAGCAAAATTAAATCACATTAAATCAGAAGAAACGCTATGAAAGGCACGAATTGTTGCGAATTCCATGGAAGAGAATTTTCAATTTTGGTGCTTACCGGCACGAGAACCCAACAAAGGGTCACCATCATTGCAGTTAAGTCGGAAAGAGGAGCCCGACCTCGGAACGGTGCCGGAGAATTCCATTTCCGGCAATTTCCGGCGGAATCGCGGCGAGTGAACGACAATCGGCGCGTGGCGTGTGCGAGAGGGATAAAAAATAGAAAATTTGGAGGGTAAGATTGGTATTAAGGACAAAATATATACACAAGTCATTATTATATTTTACTTTATTAACATTAGTGTTATTAAATTAAGGAGCTAAACAAATCAAATTTCAAGCATGTTATTATTATTGTTCACACTTCACAGTCTCACAGTCCTTGCTGCACCTCTGTGTGAAATTGAATAAATAAGGTACGGATGAGTGGTGGTGTTTCAAGTTGGGGTTTGGATAATTCATCTTCCTAGGGCCTTCAACAAAACAGTTCAAAGCCCATATAGGAAAGGTATGTTATGGGCCTACAAAATGCCCCAACTGCGAAGTGTTTCCAACAATAATTCGCAATGAGTTGGGTTTGATATCATTGTCAAGGGCCTAATCAAGATTTGACGTAAATGTGCGTCAAAAACGAAACGAGACAATTGATGTCGAATCAATTCAGGTTTCTGCTTGGACTGGACGATTGAGGATCCTTTTGGTGATTAATGCTTACATGTTAGTACACAAGATTTTACACTTTTCTTTCCCACTCTGTCTTTCTTCCAACAAAATAATAGAGACGCTACTGTTAACAAAAAGAATGATACTTAGATATATAACAAACAAACACGCAATCACACGTTTACTTGAAATACCAAGTTTGTAACACGAGTGTGCCCGTAATTAGCAAATATAATGAATTGTGCAGCGTTGTTTTACCTAATAATTATGGTAATGATATACAATTGATATTTCTGAAGGAGTACACTTCCACGCAGAGTGATTTTCTCCTTTTTAATAAAGGTTTCACCACCCAGAGAAAAAACTGAGGACGTTCATTTTTAATTTGAAGAAAAATTAATAATAACAGTTTACTTGGACTCGGAACACAAAGGTTTGTGTGCCTTACCGAACCCAAAATTCTAAATATAAGAAAAACAAATATAGACGCGGACTCGTTTTACTTTATCCACAAATAGATAAACAAGGTAAATAAGAAATTAAAATTTTATTTAAATGAATAAAAAAATACATATATATATATATATATTACTAATTAAAAATATTTTATTATACTATTTTAATGTGAAATTATTTTTTATTTCACATTGTTAAAAATTTTGTTTAACTTATTAAAAAAGATATTTTGTTATTCTCAATTCTTAGAACTTTTAAGATAAAAAATAAATAATTAATAATAATAAAATTTTATTAAAAAAATATTTATAATATTTTTAAAATTTTGATACAATAACTATATACTGTATACTGTTTTTATAAATAAAAAATAATTTTTATATATACTTACACTCAACTCTCAAGACTGAATTTAATAAAATTAAAAAAAACAAAACAAAAGAAACTCTGTTGAAGTTTATTTTTATCTCAAGAAACGACTTCCTCCTTTCGATTTCTTCCCATAAACGAATAATAAAAATATAATATTTCATCCTTTCTTCTCCACCTCTTTCTTTTTCCCCCTCACAGATTCATTCTTCTGAACAAGTCAGAAAGTTGTTCCCTTTCCAAAACTTACATGTGCTCCAGTCCCTCAAAACGATATACAAATCTACGGATTATCTAAAAAAAAAATGCTATGTACAAAGAAGTCTGATCGTCATGTACTGTATTATGTGCTAAAAGGACAAACAATCAAACGATGTGAAATGAAAAAAGAATCTACTTGAGATGATGTCATTGGTCCTATGTGCGTGATTATAGTATTATTATTGTGGAATACTTTATATATAACAATAAAGAAAGATAATGTGAGCTAAGCTCAAGTCATACATAGTGATCATTACACATCAATCAAAAGACAAAACTGTGCCCAACCCAACAGCAATCCCCTAATTCATAATTTCAACAAAATCACCTCTACAGTGTCTCAGCCTTTCAATTCCTCTCTATCTTCTACACTGCTATCTCAGAGAGGGTGAGAAGCAGAAATAGCAAAACCAGGTACAGTGATCCAGGATTTCCAAGGACTATTTTTAGTCCTAGAAATTAACCTAGAAAACTATAAAATAAAATAAAAAAAGAGGGTGTTATTCTAAGCACTTCGAAGCAAGATCGAATGATTTTAGGTGGGTGGGGACTAAAGGAATGGAGCTAAGTCCCATAAACATCCTCGATTTCCAAGTTGCTCATCTCTTCCTCCAACAGCATCCCCTTGTAACGACATTCATGGCTGCAAAATGCCCTCTCACCCCTGCAACACAACACCATGCAACTTGGTTGAAGATCTTTTTGGGTTCATTATGCCATTATTTCCAGGGATGATTCCAATCAAACACAAATTAGCAAAGCATACTTTTATTTTGATCAACAATAACCAAACGTAAAATTAATAGACATCGTTGATTATAATTGAGAATCACATCATATTTTATACCAAAACAAACACTTGTGCTTCCAATACCTAATTCACAATTCCCCTTCTTTTTTGGTTTTGTTTTGGGAGGCGGGGTGGGAATGGTTATTAACCATTGAGAAATAAGCCCAGACCCAAAAATACAAAGAAAACAAAATGAAATTAGCTACACAAGGCCAAACTTATTCATTATGACACTAAATTTAATATGCTGCAGAAATCTGGTAAAGCTGTACCCTTTGTCGGTCAGAGATTAAAGGAAGTTTTCAGCACATAAATGAGCCAATTTTGCAGTTAATTGATATCTCGATTCTCACATACATGCCAATCAAATTAGTATTTAAAAAAAAAAAAAGTATTCGAGACAAGTATAATATCATGACCCTAACAAACTCCTAACCAAATAGTAATCAAAGATAGGGATAAAGAAGAAGGCAACAAGCAATTACCTGTACATGTAGATATCTTTACCCTGCCCAAGATTCTTTTTGCAGTGAAAACAGATGCTAAGAAAAGTCTGAGAGGGAAAGCTGGTGTGATCAAGAAAACCCCCATTTTCCTTGGCAGAAGAAGCAGGGCACCCAACATCAAAGCAACTACTCTCAATGATGCAGTTATCGAATATGTGAGTGGTTCTTGGGTTAGGCCCGTGCGAAATCACCCGAGTGTAGTCCTCAGAGCGTTCCATTTCGCTTGCAGAGAGACACCCCATGAAAATTTGGTGAGAATTACAGGGTTCAATTAGTGGATTGGCACAACCAGATGCAGAGTTTTCCATCGGAGAGAGTGATAAGCTCCCAGAGGAAGAACCCAATTGAGAATTTCTCATCTTGATGCCCAAATCAACTATAAATTTGGGTGATTCAGACGGAGAAAGGGGAGGAATCTGAATCTTGAGCTGGGATCCAAACAGAACCATTCGGCTCTCTGGTTTTGAATTCACTTCACCATGTTTGTCTTCATCAACAAGAGCATCAACTAGGCCAAGACCTACGCCTTTTGAATCCAATTTATCCCAGTAACGCTTGTGTTCACCCCCTGGGGTTCGGGGGCTGTTTGTTTCGGACCAGAAAGGGTTCTTGAAGCCAGAGAAAGGCTTGCTGTCGAGTATGGAGGTAGGGCTCATCATAGTTTCGGTTTCATGAAACACTTGTGGTGAAAAATTGGTGAACAACCTCGGAGAACTAAAGAAAGATGAAGTGGGTTTCTTGTACTTTTCTGCCAGTGATGTTGAGGAACCAGAATCTGCCATTAGAGCTTCTCACAAACCGTTGCCCTGGATCTCTCACTCAGCATAATTTGATTTTATGTTTCCCACTGTGAAACCAATACACGGAATATCCCAGATATTTAGAACCTTATTAAGTTGTAGTGCTTATAACAGTATTTGTGTGTGTGTGTGTGTGTGACAGAAAGATTATAGGAATCACCTGAAAGGACAAGGTTGTCACCTAGACACTGGCATGAGTTTGAGAAGGCAACATCAAAACCAACTTGAAGCTTCACTGAAGAAGTTTTAGAGGGTATAAAATTTTGAAGGCTTGGAGGTGTACCACAAGTCAAATCCACCATTCTAAGGAAAGCCAGAAACAAGTTTCCATGGATAGAAAGCTCTCTTTTTCTCTGAGATATTAAACCTCTGTGACCTCCATTCCTAAACCACTGAGAAAATTGGAGGAACAAATACAGAAAATAATAGGGTTTTTTAAAAAAGAAAAGAAAGGTGACTTTTTCCCCGGCTTTCTCGCCCTCCCTTCTCCTGTTTCTGAGAATAGAATCACGATGGGGCTCAAAAACGACATGCAAAGAGAGCCTCAGTGGTCATGATCAAAGGACCAGACGTGCATGCATCAGACAGCAGAACAAAGAAGAGTTTGTATTTTTGTTCCTTCTTTTGCCTACCTTTATTTCTCTCTTTCAATTTTTTTGCATTTCTGTCTTGGACTCCTATTTCAGCACAAATAATTAGTGCCTAACCAGTAAAAAGCCGAACACCCTCTAGAGTAAAACCAAAACAACTGGTCCCTAAAATCCCATTTCAGCACCGAAACGTAAAAGGGAAATTCTGAAACAAAATAAAAAAATTAAAAGAAACCGTGATGATAATTCATAAAGCCCCTCTCTTTTTCTCTCTTCTCCCTTTTATGAGTAGTGGGGTTATCTTTTTCACAGTACTCTTTATTTGCCCACTAGTTCAGCCTTCCATCATGAGTCATGAAAAATTGGTAACTAGTTGCAGAGAAAGAGAGAAGAAGCAAAGGACACAAGGCAAGAGATAAGAAAGCGGTTTGGGTTTGGAATGGGAGTAACTGGTTGGTGGGTTCTTATAGAGACGCGTGTGCTTGAGAATCGGTGGTTTTTATTTTAACTTAAATTTTATTTTTGTGTTGGTTCAGGAGACTTTCAGTGATTTTATTTTAATAAAAAAGCACACTATGGTCTCAGCAATGGCAGTTTTTACCAAGGTTGTTTGTGTCACGAAACAAAGGTAAGGTGGCGTTATGTGAGTGGATTTTCCGATCGGCTATCTTTATCTTTCACTCTCAACTCTCTCAGAGGCAGAGTGTATTATGGGAGTACATATACCATCGTACGTTAGGGGCAGTCACGAGACTCTAAATTAATTAAATACATAAATCTCACCTATTTCTTGTTCAAAAAATCCAATTATTATTTTTAAGCCTAGAGAAATATTTATTGGTAAGGTGAGTTTTGGAGAAAGTTACGGGGAAAGAACTCGAAAGAAGACATGACATAGGATGTGCTTAAATACAAAGTTTAACTAAATTTTTAATTAATAATCTTTAATCGTAAATTTATTTTAAATTTAATTATTAAAATTATTAAAATAAATATAAACATTATAGATAATTATTTTCATACAATTTACATAACTTTTCCAAATAAACTCATGATTTGAGATTTGAGCACGACTATTTAATTTTATTGCATATTTCATAGTAATGTCAACTAAGTTATATTAGGAGAGGAAATTATATACATTTTATCAATAATATATATAGGCATTATTAATTTAAAAAAATGAATATATTTAATTCTTATATTAAGAGAGAAAATTTATACTCACTTTGTCAAAATATACCTCACCAGCAATTTTTTTATTTATACCTATTACACAGTGATTTTATTTATACTATATTTTTAAAATATATATATTTAATTCTGATTCATCCAGAGTTGAAAAAAGTTTCGTACATTGCCTTTAGTAATATAAAAATTTGCGGTGATTATATTTTTATTTTAGGATAAATGATCTTAATTGCGCTTTTGACATTATTTCTCTTAAGCCCTCCTATATTGTAGAACCCTAGTTGTTATCACTCGAGCTTAAACTTTATTTTAATAAATTATAATGATAAATTAAATAATTATTAAATTTAAGATGTGTTTATTTTAATTAAAAAATATATATATTTCACCTTTCAATTTTGTTATAACATTTAAAAAATTGAAAAAGTACTTTTCTTGTGAAATCATTTTAAACAAACGAACTCTGATCGTGCTTTTAAGAAAACTGTTTATATGTTCTGATGTGGTAACTGCTTTCTTCCTAACAAATAGCGATCCGGTCATTGTTATGTTTTTAAAAATATAATATAATACAAATAAAATCAAGCATGCTTTTATTCTTCTATCTACTTGAATCTATTTATATATATTTAAAAAAATTAAAAATACATTATATATACTTTTTTAAGTTATCTTTATGCAATCCTGCTTAAGAAATGCATATATAATAACATTTTCTAATGTATAGCAGTTATTTATACTCGACCGGTTCAATTTAATTTGATAAATTTTAATTCTCCGAATTAAAAAAACGAACAGACTAAAAAAGAAGGAATGAGTGAAGTTTCATAGTCATTTGCGTGGGGCCCTTTTCTAAAATATTAAAAATTACCACAGAAACGGTAGTGGGGAGTTCACGGACCCGTCTGTAGAGAGTAGCATCATATCAAATATCACTAAAATACTTTACCATTGTCCTACGTCAACCTAATAATAACGGGTCCCACTTCACTTCTTTTCTTTTCTTTTCTTTTTTTATTCATATTAAACTCTTGAGTCCATGTACGTCACTTAACTCGGACCCCTTGGTCTCGTTTACAATTACTAGCATTTTTAATGAGAATGGGACGTCTTCTTTTTTTAATTCTTCAACTAAAAAATTGCTATACCTTTTATATTTTTTTAAAAAATTATTCATTAGTTTAAAATAATTAATAAAGTAACTTAATCAAAATAATTATCAGTGATCTTTTATATCTCTTTTTTTTTCACCCCTATGAAATAGCATTTGAATTTGTTTTTTAAGCATTAGCACAACATAATTACTAAAATGCCCATACAAGAAAAGGGAGCGCGTGGGGACCCATTTTGGGATTAGCCAGCCAGCACAGGCTCAATCATGGTTCATGATAACACCAAGCCAGTGAACCATACCGAACCCATCCCTCTGGCCCCAGCTAGCCCATTGGTTGGTTCAATTTTGCGTCACCGTTTTTATGCGCGGCGTTCTCTTCATTCTTTTAATGGATTTGGTGCATGCAACGTCCAATGAAAGAGTCAATAAGTGGAGGCCAGGAGGCGCGTGGGTGCTTCAAGCATGATTAAATTAACCAAACTCAAAATATTTTTATAACTTGTATACAACTATAAAAGCAAGCAAGATTTGGTGTTTTTCTGTGTTTTCATATATAAAACAAACCTCTATGTTTTATAAATAAGCTTTGAAAAAATAATTAAATAAAAATTAATCATGTCTTTAATTTTTAAAATAAATTATATTTTTCTTTCTTAAAAGATACATATATTACATTACTATTTTTTATTTGAAAATTATATAACACCCTCCCTTTTTAAAAATAAATTAAATTGGATTACAATTTAATTCATTTTAAGTTTTTTGTTAAAACATTATTAAATACTTGTTTATTTTTTATCAAAATATTTTTTCAAAATATTATTGTCAACATTTTTAAAAGCTCAATGTATTCTTTTATAGAATTGTAAGCACTGCTGATTGTTGTAAACATTTTAAAAGCTCCTTTCAAAATTCAATAATGAAAACAGAGCTATCAAAATACTCACCCTTCAGTGAAAAGTATATGATATAAACCACTTATAACTTTAACACATTAAAAAAAAAAGATAGAGCATGAAAAAAAATTTAAAATTAAAATATACAAGTAAAAATTATATTACAAGTACTAAACAAATTTAATAAAAAAAATAGACTAAGATTTTTTCTAACAGTGTTTTAATGAAAATTTTAAGGCTTGTTTGTTTCTGTTTTGATTTTTAATTTTTAAAAATAATATTTTAAAAAAATTAAAGATAAAGTAAAACTAAATTTTATGTTTAATTTTTTTATTTTTAAAAATAAAAAAGTTTTTTAAACAAGTTCTAATAAGTTAAATTGTGAATAAAATGTATTAATTAAAATAAAATTTAAGTGTGTATTAATTAAAATAAAAATATATTACAAATGTGATTGTGACAATGTTAAAATTAATTTTTTTAGCTTACACAACACATGAGTTAACGATAAAGATTAAAATTTTTATTTATTTAATTTATTATAGTCAAAATCATAATAATTATTTTAAAAAATAAATCTAAGTAATAAACTTTTAATAAACAAAAATTTTGTTTAAACATATATTTTAAATTATTTTAAAAATGTTGTATTTTGACTGTGATATGAGTTAGCATATGTTTAACATGTTAAGAATCTATTCAATTCAATACTTAATAAATATTTTTTTTTTAGATCACAAATATCATTTATTAAAGACAATTTTGTTTTAGTAAAAAAAATTACTATGAAAACAAAGTTAACCTCTCAACAATAAATTAACATGTTTAATAATACTTAATAGATGAAAGTAAACAACAGTGACTAAGATTTATTCATTTACTTTGTTAAAAAATAAATATTAACAAAACTTAAAACAATAGTCTTTCATATAACAAAATTAAAACCAATTTAAATCTTTAATTTTAGAAAATAGAGTAAAAGGTTGATCTAATATATAAAAATTTGTTAAAATTAATAAAAATTTATAGAAATTGATAAAAAAAAAATTGGTTCATGCGATTTTAAAATAAAATCTTTTGTTTTAAAGAGTATTTGAAATAATTTATAAATAATTGAATATTCATAGGCAGAATCTATGTGTAGATTATCATTATTATTTTTAATTATTTATTATGAACGTCTTTTATTTTATAAAAAATATAATATAAAATATTTACATTAATTAAAAAATTTACCTAATTTATTTGTTATATTCTGATAGTAATTTATCATTCAATGTAGTGTAATATTTAAAATTATATGTTTTACTATTACCAAATCAATATCAATTCGACTACGACAAAATTAGTAGTTTAGAAATGATCTCTTTCATCAGTTTAATACTTAATGTAATCTTTAAAAAAATATTATTAATAATAAACTCTGAAGAAATAAGGTGCAATGATTCCTTCCCACTATTTATGTATATCAAATTCAAAAGGTTGGTCACTGGTGGGTTGCTTGATTGATTCTGGTAAATAATGCACCTACATATGTTTGGTGGATATAATGCCCCTATATATAGCTACCTATCTATTAGGCAAACTAGCTTTTCCTTTTTTAATTTATTTTTATAATGTTCTTATTAGTTCTTGCCTCCCTTCTTGCATGACATTCCCATGCAAGTTACCATAAATATGACACTTGCACCTTAACCTCGTGCATTTGTTCAGGAGAGATGGTGAGTGTTTGACGACGCCGTGGCGAATTTTTATAACTGGCTAATATATATAATGTAATGCATGATTGCATGATCAATACGGATTAATTATAATCAGTTTTTTAAACATTATTTGTTATAATCTCATAATGCACTCAATTATTTCCAATTTAAGATTCTAATCTTATGATGCACACTTCTTTTAACGTAATGTCTAATCACAGTTTTATTTGTTCTAACCATATTTACGTGAAAATATATTCTTTTCATTGCATAAACAGGTGAAATATTAGCCGATCATGTTTTTACGCAGTAATAATGGATTCTACTTACTCCTTGGTTTAACAATTAAACAAAGATAAATCTTAAGTGTAATATTTTATGTATTTTACACTATTTTTAATTAAAATTTTATATTAATATTTCATATAATGAAATTGATATTAATAATCAAAATATAATTTTAATAAAAATATTCATCTAATAATGCTGTATAGCGTCCAAATACAGTCAACCTAACAACGGAATAAATTAC